CGTGCTGAACTCTTGCTCTGCCACTGAGCTATAGCCCAGCTCCCTTTTATATTCTCAGGGCCTTTTTTTTTGTCCTTTTGAGACAGTCTTGCTATGCAGTTCAGATTGGCCTCGAACTCACTTAGTAGCCCAGGATGGTCTCCAACTTACAACAATTCTCTTGTCTCAACCTTCCCAGGGCTGGAGTTATAGGCATTGCCTGGTTTCTCAGACTTTAAAAGTTTCCTTACAAGCATATGTCTTTGAGCTCTTTCTAAATAAATATACAAAAAAACTTCCTTTAAAAAAATTTATTTAATTTTAGGGCTGGGGATATAGTTCAATTGGCACAGTGCCTACCTGGTGTAAGGTCATGAGTTCAATTCCTGGTTCCAACACAAAACAAAAACAAAAATTTATTTTTGTAGTACTAGGGATTTAAATCCAATGTGTTTTTTTAAAAAATTTAGGACAGGGTCAACAGGGTCTCACTGTGTAGATCAGACTTGTAATGATCCACCTGTTTATAGCCTCCTGAGTGCTGGGATTACAGGCGCGCACCACCATGCCGAGTCTCAATTACCATCTCAGCATGCCCTGGGGCCAGCATGGCAGGCCCAGGATCAAACTCCTGGCCCCTGCATTTGCCTAAGCAGGCGCTTTAATCCACTGAGCTATTTGGCTGGCCCACTTAAACCAGATAATTTTTTTTTTTTTAAACATTTATTTATTTATTTAGTTTGTGTGTGTGGCCAGCTCAGCCCACCAGGGGGCGGGCCTGGCTGGCATGTGGGGCTGGGGGATCGAACCGTGGTCCCTGTGCTTTGCCAAGCTTGTTCCAAGTAGGTGCTTTAGACCACTGAGCCATCTCACCAGCCCCCAGATAATTTATATAGAAAAACATATGCTAGGGCCAGTGAGACAGCTCAGCAGTCTAAAGCATCTGCTTAGGCAAACTTAGGCAAACGCAAGGAATGCAGTTTGGTCCTCAGCACCACATGCTGTGCCAGCCCCATCCCCAGATGGGCTGAGCCAGCCACACACACACACACACACACACACACACCCCATCAAAAAAAAAAAAAAAGCTAGATTTAATGCTAATATATATGCTAGAAAAAAGAATTTGGAAAGTTTTCTCTATAAAGAAGTGTTTTTGAGAAGTTACATTTACCCTATCATACCATGTGTTACCTATAACTATGTACAATTTTTGGTTTTGGTACTGGGGATTGATCTCATGATCTTGAGCTTGCTGCTAAGCTATTTCCCTAGCAGTATGTACAATTTTTATGTATTTGAAAAAAAAATCATGAACATGGAAAGATTAAATATATGCAAAGATTAAAAACTTTAGGAAAGTAATTAATTTAATTGGTTATATTTAAAAATTCAAAGACAACACAACCATCACAGTAGATACAAAAGACACATGTGGTAAAATTCCACAACTATCATGAAGAAAGTATTCAGCAAAATAGGAATAAAAAACAACTTTATTCTGCTGATATAAATGGTAATGAACATCTCTAATCCCACTCTTGGAGGCTGGGGCAAGAGGATTTCAAGTTTGAGCCCAGACTAGGCAATTTAACAAGACCTTATCTCAAAATAAAAAATAAAAAGTCTATAGTGTGAAGACCCTGGACTCAATCTCTAGTAGGAAAAAAAAAAAAAAAAAGCCTACAGAAAACAACATGCTAACAGTAGCATTACTTATAAAGTCAGGACACACGCAAGGATGCCTACCATCACAACTTCTAGTATACTAGAGGTTCAGAAAAAATGAAAGGCACAAGAGTTAAAAAAGAAAGAAACCAAAACTGTCCCTATTTGTAGATAATATGATTATTTGCAGGAAAAAAAAAATCACAAGAATCTGGAACTAGCAGACATAAAGGAGTTCAGCAGAGTTCTGCATCAAGATCTCTACCTGAAATCGGTGGGCTCATACGCAAGCAACATTCAACCAGAAAATGTAATTTTTTTCATTTATGTATTTGGTACAGGGTCTCACTATGCAGCTTGGACTCATTGTGATCCTTCTCTTTTCAGCCTCTCTATCGCTGGGATTACAGGCATGCAAAATCACACCTGGACTTGGTCGCCAGCTCAGCGCACTCCGGGGGGTCAGGGCCAGTGTGACATGCGGGACCAGGGATCAAACCCTGGTTCCTGCACTTGCCAAAGCAGGTGCTTAGTCCACTGAGCTATCTCACTGGCCCTTAGAAAATGTAATATTTGAGAAACCGCATTTACAACAGCATCAAAAACTATAAGCTACTACTCATGTTTGAAACATTTGCATGTACACAAAAAACACAAAAGCTGTGCGACATCTAGGGCTAATTTCACAGAAGATATACAACAGCTTCAAAGACAAAATTAAAACCTTCCTAAATGCTGCCATTCTGCTTACAACACCACACCGACCTGGGAGGCTGAGACAGGAGGACTGCAAACTAGAGTCCCACCTGGGCAACTTAGTGAGGCCCTGTCTCAAAAAAGCCTGTGAATATAGCTCAGTGTGAAGGCTCTGGGTTCAGTCCCTAGTACCACAAAAATGAAACAAAAAACTTCACTGGCTGTCCATTGCTCCATGGATGTTCAAAGTCCACAACACAGCTATAGAGGCCTTCATGACCTGTAACCTGTCCCAAGATTGTGCCCCACCCATGCACGTGAAAATCCCTCAGTTGGGATTTTTCTGGTGACCTGGGATCGGTCACGCCTCCTGCTCCAAGTCATGAGCACTCACTCACCTTCACTGAGCACGGCCTCTTCCTTCTCCAGCCCCTCCGATGACCAGCTCAAGGATCATTTTTCCTACACACAGGTCCCTCACTGTGTGCTTCCCTGGGATATGTACTTCACCTGTCATTGTGTTTTCTTGCGTTGTTTAGCGCCTGCCTCCTAAGGGCAGGCCCAAGTCTGCAGCCCTTTTATCCCCGGTGCACAGGGCATATGTTCCATAGAAATGAGAACATGTGGTTTTTGCCCTCAGTTCTTACCCTACCAGTTACAAACACTCAAAGGACTAACTGGAAGACGATGAAGTACTGTAACAGACCATACAAACATGGGGTGCCAGTGGGTACTGAGATGTGAGTGTGTACTCATGAAGTCCTGAAGGAATGCGGCCCGCTTTCTGAGTTTAGTGAGAAAGGTGACATTTCAATTAGCTTGTCATTCATCTCACTTATTCAGTGAGTAACTCAGTACCTACTTGGTGCCAGCCACTGTTCCAAGACATCCAAATATTCTGTCTGCCTTCCTAGAGCTTACTTTAGGGGGAGTAAGGCAGATATTAAAATTAAGTAAGATAACATCAAGCAGCGATACAGGCTTTGAAGAATATAAAGTTCTGTACACGTTTACCTGGATGGTAGTGGAAATGAGTGTGTGTGTTTATTAAATCTCCTTGTAGAGATGTAATTTAAATAAAACCTGAATAGGGAGTGGTGCCAGCTATTCAAAGACATGTGGAAGACTGTCCTGGGCAAAGAGAACAATAAAATCCATTGGTTCAAAGGACAGAAAGAAGGCCAGTGTGACAGAAACACAATGAGTATTTTTATCTTCAGCCTAGATTTTGTTCCTGAATTCCAGAAGCAGAGCTAACTACCAACTGAAAATCATTACTGGAGCATCTAACAGGCATCTCGACCTTCATGTGTCCAAAAACAACCTAATTTCCTTCCCTAATCCCGTGTCTAGATACTGCAGTAAATGACAATTCTATCACCAGAGCAGCTCAGACTAGAGACTTCAGAGTCATGCTTAACTCTGTCTCACAGCCAACCCATCAACAAACCTTATGGCACGACCTTCAAAATATAACAGGTCTCTGCCTGTCTCCTATCGCCTCCCATGCTATTACTTTGGATAGTGCCAAAGTGTTTGGATCTTATTCTTTTTGCAAAGCAGAATCACAGAAGGCTTCCCAGGACTGAACAGAGAAAGTGATACATTGCAGGGAAGGTGGCAGGAGCTCACAGTGGCTCATAAGAACCAATTGGAAAATTTGGGGAATGTTGCAAGATCGTTTTACACTGCACTGATTGCTTGATTTGGCCAGTGAGAATATTTATACCTCAGATAATGGCAAACACTGCAATGCAGGGCTTCTCCCCACCCCAGATCTGAGTATTCGATACTTACTAGCACACAATTACATGCAGAACTCTTCATTGCAGACAATGAATGCTGGCAGGCATCTCCTGGTTCTCTACAGGTGTCTGGGCATACATTAGAACCATCTGAGGAATTTTTCCCTATATAGAGCGGCTTGTCTGTCTGCCTATCTGTCTTCTCCACTCAGCTAAGGATAAGTTGAGAGATGAAAGAACCAGGCATAGGAAAGAAGAGAACTTTTAAAAGATACCAAAAAGCATGAATGGGCTTTGTTACTGTTTTTAATTTTTAGCCTGTTTGAGACAGGGTCTCGCTACGCAGTTCAGGCTGGTCTTAAGCTCACTTTGTAACCTAGGCTGGTTTTGAACTCGCAATGATCCTCCTGCCTTAGCCTCCAGAATACTGGAATTACAGGTGTGTGCCACCATGCCTGGCTTGGGCTTTGTTATTTGCTCTAAGAAAACTGGTTCTTCAGAACACAAACTTTACTTCTGTGATTTTTTTGGTTGGAACTGTCCTCTCCTCTAGACTACATTCCACAAGGGCTAGGGCTGCACTCCCCACTGTACCCCAAGCTGAGCTCAACGCTCCAATAACTGTGAGCAAGACCTCACTACAGAGTTAAGAGAAGAACAAGGAGATAACATGAAAGAGAAGGAGGAGTCAAGGACCAACACTCAGCAAGGAGAGAGGATTGTGGTTGGGGTACAGGAAGTATCTGGGAAATACAAATTTGACTTGTCTCTGAATATCTAGGCAATGTCTTGCTGGAAGCTGGAATTATCTTAAACTTTAGGTGGGTTCAGGGTCTGGGAGAGACCCTGTCAACTATATGAAGTAACTCTGGCTTCCCCCTTTAAAATGTAGATTACTGTTCAGGGACTCACCCGAACCTCAGCCTCCCGGGGTCTCCCATTGAGGTCACACTTGGACCCGTTGCCATAGGTCTGGCTGTGGTAGCGTTTCAGGCGATGCTGCTTGGAGGCCTGGAGAAGAAATGGGGGGAGGGGCACAGGAGATAGTGAGGTAGAAGAATGGTGCTGCACCCCCATAGGGACCTTGTGACTGTGGGAATCCAGGCCCCAGGGGAATCTATACTGGTGGCCATCAAGCCCCAAGACACACATCAGGTAACCCCAATCCTCCCCTTCTTGTCTAGTCTCTCAGTCTGCTGCCAGCCCCCTCCCTCTCCCAAGCCCTCACTACTGCCACCTTGGCTGTTTCATCATCCCAGTCAAAGGCTGATTGGTAGTAGCCGAGATAGAGGATGTCACCTTTGATCTCTGAATCTGCAAGAGAAGCCACAGGGAAGCACATTACTTTCTTTTAAGAAAGGTAGGCAGGTTCCCCGTTCCAAGAAAAAAAAGAAAGAAAGGTAGGCAGGAAGGAGACTGGGAAGCAGGCTGCCTTCCATGATAGACTACCAAGGGTTTAAGGCAAATGTAAGAGTAAGTCACCTTCCATGTGATACTGCTGGATGTGGCGTCCATAACAGAATTGATATGTCCACCAGTCCTTGGTCTGACAATTAGAAAACGAACAATCAGAGGGGCAGAGTGCAGGTGCCTCTTCTTGGAACCAGTCTTGGCTTCAAGACACACAGTCTGTCATCTCCTTCTACATTCATTCTCCAGAGGCTGCGTGAGCAGGGGCAGCTGTTTTCCCTTCTGTGGCTACAGCTACACCTCTAAAGTCTGTCTTCCACCTGTGCTCTTTCTATTCTCCCCTTTAAAAGATATTTTTAAAAATCTTTTTTTGCCCTCCACAAAGAAAAGAAATCATGGTATCCTGGCAACACTCAGACCAAGGAAACACAGAAGACCTCAAAATCAGATATTAATTTATTTTCTATAGCATTCCTTGCACCATTCTAGTCACTTGGAATACAGCTCTGAACAAGATAAGTTCTTTGGCTTAATGAAGCTAGTGCCAGGACTCAGATCAAAAGTAAACTGATTCAGTTCAAATGGTTTCAGATCCTGGCGAGTTCCCTGATGAAAATAAAGTAGGATACTGGGGGAGAGAGCAGTGGGGGCAGGTGGCGACTTTTACAAGTAGACTTCTCAGAGGAAGAGCTGGCCCTATCCCACACTGCCCACTCTGGGCCCTCGATCTTGACAACCTCCTCTTGAGATTTTCTATCTTAGCTGTTGCATACATTCTGCAAATTGTAACCACTGGTGGCAGGTTTTTTGCCTCTCTCCTGCTGTATGCTATATCAAATTCACCAAGGGCCTCTTAACTTCCACATTCTAGTTCGCACACTGCTAGTTCCCTAGCGCTCCTACTCCAGCCATCCCAGTTCCTCTCACCTTCAGCAAGCAGGGAGCATCTCTCATTGGATTCAACAACTCAGGGATCCCAGGCCCTTGGTAAGCAGGTGTTTCCTCTTCCCTTTCACGCTGAAAGTGAATAGCTCCAGCTGGCAGGCGACATTCATAACGCTGTTTGTACTTAGAGGAGACAATCACCACATCTGAAGCTTGGCTCTGAGAAAAAAGGGAGGGTCGTGGGCAGGAAGGTAAAGAGAGGATAGGCTCGGGGAGAACAACGAGATCCCTCTTCAGCCCCTGGGCAGGAGCCCGGTCCAAGACAGAATGAGCCACAGGTCCTCTATCGGCACCGGGGGTGTGTAGGAGAGGGTACGGCAGGGGCGGAGCCTGGGTGTTTCCAATGAGCCTCGGTACCTAAGGCCGACAGCCGAAGCCCACCCCTTCAGGTGCCTCGTCCTCTAGGAATAGGTCTGTCTGCGGTCCCCGGGGGTCACACAAAAGCCCTACTTAGTCTTCCTGGTTTTCTCAGTCTCCCGCCCCCGACCCACAGCTGCTCTTCCTCCTCTACCGTTCCCCCCTTCGTTTTCAGCTCAGGACCCTCGTCCCTTTAATGTCTATGCACCTGCCCTCCTATGACAGGCAATGGCAGGATCTCGATCCCATAACGCATTTCACTCAGTTCCTCCAGGTTCAGGCTCCCGACACCATTGGCCAGACGTGCAGGTAACAGGAACCCCAGGAACAGCAGCCACAGCCAACTGGGCGGCAGCGTCTCCGCCGCCATCTTTCGTTCCAATTCTTATCGGGAGACACTCCTTCCGCCCTAAACCTGGCAGCGGCCTCACCCCGCCCATTGGTTTTGCAGCATCTCATTGGCTCTTCGTTCTGTCTCTCTCACTTATCACATTTCCATTGGTAAACGTGGCTCCAAAACCTACGGAGAGGTAGACCACGATGATTAGCGAATCAGCCGCTGCTCGTGATTGGTCAGAGAGCCCAACCAATCAGCAATGAGATTAAGCCCCCTCCCTCTCTCTCCAATAGTTCCAGAGGCATGGTCTCTGCGCCTGGTTCTTTGAAGCAATTCTTGTATCCTCCCTCCAGATGACAAACTCACCTGTACTTATTACTTTTTCAGACGTTTCTTGCAGTGTGTCAGGTCCCCGCTGGGCGGAGTATCGAGACACATGGATGAGGGTGTGAGATACACCTGAGCGTTGTTTAATGCTTTTTGCAGAACAATTACTGTATAGAAACACACCCCTTCTCACATACACTTGTCATTTTAGGACAATCAGGTAATTTGTGTGAAAAATCTTTTTACACTATCCTGAAGCTGTCTTCCAATAAAATTATTATAAAGAAGTGTTGGGGGTCAGGGTCGGTTCTGCACGTCTGTAATTCCAACCTCTCCCGGGACAGGGTCAGAAGGACCGTGCATTTCTATCCCTTCCCACTCCCAAAAAGAGAACATCAGGGGAGAGGCAGGAAATGCTATGGAAGTTAGAGAGCTTGAGGAGCCAGTGCTGGGCCCTGGGCCCTCAGGGAGCGGAATTCTTTGGGCTAAAAAAATGAGGAGGTCAGGCCCTTATGTGGGAAACTGTAAAAACTAAACAAAAGGTGACAACAGCAGCTGTGAGGAGCCGGGAAGCTAGAAAATTGGTCAAATGTGGGTAAGCAGGACTAGGCCTAAGTGCCTAAAGCAAACAAGCTACCTCAGTCCTGAGATAAGCATCCTGACTGGTTAATGTCAGCTGTTATTCACTAAGCAACTTTGTGTCACATGTTACTAACCTTGCAAAGGTAATTTTGCCAACCAGGCAGACCAGTCACCACCTAACCTAGCTTTTGTCTTCTTGTCTATCTTTTCCTTACTCCTGCAGCCATTTCTGCCAGGGTAGGTCAGATCACACTGAGACCAACGGATCCTTACATTTGGTGCCAAAGCAGGACACCTAGTACCAGATAAGTGTAGGCAGTAGGAACACTTTCAAAGAGCACACATAATGGAGGGAAGTGGATTGGTTAGAGCCAGCAGTATTCAGCACAGGTATGCATCAGGGGTGGAGGCTCACCAGGGCCAGAAACAAGCTCATTAGGGCCAGAGGGATAAACGAGCATAAAGAGAGAAACAGCTTTGAGAGAAATCAAAAAGGAAAAAGTTAGATTGAGTTAAAAATAGGACAAACAGGGGCTGGAGAGATAGCTCATAGAATAAATGCTTTGCCTGGCAAGAGCAAGTTCCTGGTACCACAACAAATAAATACATAAAAAAATAAAAATGGGACAGAGTTTCAAGAATTACAGATGTATGTAAAAATGTTTGTTATTTTCTTGGTTCCTGTATTTGTGCTACTTTCTAAGACTACCACAAAGGCCTTAGAGTGGAGTACTGTTTTAAAATCAGTTGCAAATGGGACAAGGCAGGTAGAGCAAAGGTACAACAGATAGAATTTAAACCCTCTAACTTTGTTCAATTGGATGAAAAAGGAAAAAGTTCTTTTAAATTGCAAGCAGTTGGTTCCAAGGGACACAGCACCACCAAGGGGAGGGGAACAAACTGGGCTCAGGGAGGCCCCCCCCCCACTCTGGTCTTAGGCAGACCCAGCTGGGATTCCTCAGCTGCCCACGTGTCTGTGTGCCTGGTCCAACTGCAGAGGTTGACACACACCATCAACTACAGACCCGTGGCCTGGACCTAAGTAGGAGAGTCATAACTGTGGCTACTTGTGGCCTTGGTGTTGGCTATGCATGTTGCTGGCATTGAAAATTTGCTAGGGGCTGGCCAAATAGCTCAGCGGATTAAAGGGCCTGCTTAGACAGATGTGGGGGATGGGGGGTGTTCGATCCCTGGGCCTGCCATGTTGGCTCCACCTCCAGGGCATGCTGAGATGGCAATTGAGACTGAGCATGGTGGTGCACATCTGTAATCCCAGTGCTTGGGAGGCTGTAAACAGGAGAATCACTATGAGTCTGATCTACATAGTGAAACCTTGTTAGACCCTATAGACCCTGTGCTAAATACATTAAAAATTTTTTTTGTTAGGTTCAAGATAGTGCCAGTCTCAGAAAAAAACAAAATATCCAGTGGCCAAAGCCAGAGGGACAGCTGGCATACACAGTGGCCATAGCCCCCTAGAAGCTTGGGGACAGGATGTGGACCTGAGAAAAAAACCATCCCAGCTACTGAGAGAATGGAGCTGCTGCTAGAAGTTCTCTCAGCTCTGAGTCTATAGAGTAAAAAACAGCAACTAGTGAGCTGGGGAGATGGCTCAGTAGAATAAGCGCTTCCCTGGCAAGTGCAAGGGCCTGAGTTCAATCCCCAGTTCTGCAAAAAAAACCCCAACAAACAAACAAACAAAACCCCCCTGCAACTGCAGGTAGAGTCTCAATACAAAGGGGTCTCCAGGTTTTGCTTGGTGTTGTCCATGCTGATGATGCAGGGAAGTCAAAGTTATAGTTCTAGGGGTCAGGGAGATAGCTCAGTGGCATAAGTGCCTGGCAAGCATTAATTAAAATTAATTTAAAATTTTGGGTTAAAAATAGAAATTAAGGGCCAGCAGTATAGCTTAGTGGACTAAGCGCTTGCTTAGGTAAGTGCAGGGGCCTTGGTTCCATCCCTGGCCCGCATGCTGTGCTGGCCCCGCCCCCTGGCCCACTGAGCTGGCGATGGAGTCCAGGTGTGGTGGCGCACACATGTAATCCCGGCACTAGGGAGGCGGAAATCAGGAAGATCACTACGAGTCTGAGCTGCGTAGCAAGACCCTGCACAAAAAAAAAAAAAAAAAAAAAAATTAAAGGAAAAACATTTTAAAGGGCTTTCCAAATGCAGGTGTGGATGCCCTTCAGGTAAGACTGCTGGATTGCCCACCTCGAGAGATACAAAGGGCCATTTCTCTAGGAAGAGAGCTTAGCAGGAAAGCAGGAAAGAGAGTGGTTCTCTCTCCATTACAATTGACATTACAAGGAAAGTTTTCAAATTTTCCACTTAAGGTGATTAAATTAAATAGCTGTTTCCATCCTAAACATAAAAAGTTTGCTTGGGGGGCAGTACTGGGGAGATAGCTCAGCAGTCTAAGCACCTGGCTAGCAAATGCAAGGACCATGGTTTGATCCCCAGTACTGCATGACTAGCCCACAAGACCCTGTACCAAACAATTAATTACTTTGTTTTAAAAAGTTTGCTTTTAAAAAAAAATCATACTTCCTAAGATTTCCAATAGTGGGGATATTTTTAAAAATTAATTAAAATTATTTTAATTCCTAATAAGTTGATTGCTTGTTTTGCAGTCCTAAATTAAAATTGGTTTAAAAAGATTTGATCTTTTACAAACAAATATAGAACTTTGGGGCTGGAGAGATGGCTCAGTGGTCTAAAGCACCTACTTGGAACAAGCTTGGCAAAGCACAGGGAACGTGGTTCAATCCCCCAGCACCACATGCCAGCCAGCCCCGCCCCCTGGGGGGCTGAGCTGGCCACACACACACACACACACACACACACGTGCACACACAATAAAATTTTAAAAAAGAATGTAAAAAAAAAGTGTTTAAAAAAAGCAAAAACAAATATAGAGCTTTGGTTTGCAATCTAAAAGCAGTGCAGTTTAAACAGTAGCTTGATTTTGACATCCCATTAAAATAATAATAGGCCTGGTGATGGCCTCCGAAGGGGTACAAGCTATGATAACTTCTTCTTATTTGGGTCAACTTATCCAACAAGGAGAGAATGTGCCCCAAACTGTTGAGATCAACCACTCATGATTTTCAGACTTTATTCGATAATATTAATTGGCTCCATCTAGATTTTGGGTTAATTTCTCTGGTGTTATTGACTGTCATTACCATTCAGGTAAGTTAAATTAGCTTGCTTTTTTCACAGATAGGTCCCATTTGGTTAAGTGAGGAAATGTATGGCTTCCTCTTCCATAATATAGGATACAGTTTTATCACTGTACAATTGAAATTCAATTACAAAAAGGGGGGAAGCAATCCATCCAACTTCACTTGTCCATATACACTATTAAACTTTTTTAATTCTACAAAAGATGGAAGTACAGCAGCAGAAACAATTCCATTAAGTAAGAGAAAAAAGGCTAGGAAGGGTCCTTTGGAGAGATCACTATGCTGGACAATGGAAGGAACACAGTCCACTACTAATCGGGGGCAGAGGGTATGCTTGTGTTTTTCCAGGAAGTGCTAAATGACCTATCTGGGTACCACAGTGTGCTGTCAGGCTGTACCAAGAAGCCAGATCTAGAGAAGTTAATAGCGATGAGGCTAGATCCAACCTGTGACCAATTGAAGGAACTGACAAAATGGAAATCTAAGAACTAAATGGGTGATAAAATATATAAAGATGTCTTAGTTACTTTCCTCTCATTGCTGGGACAAACACCCAACCCTCAAAATGAAGGAAGGAAATGTTTTTTTAGCTCACAGTTAATGGAGGTTTTAGTCCATACTCAGCTGGCTCCAAGGCAGACTGGCACATAGCAGAGGGCAGCAGTTCATGGCTGCAGAAGACAGCAAAACAGCAAAAGCTAAAGGGAGGAGTACTGCTCTGGCAGATGCAGGGACTATGGTTTGCTTCCCAGTGTGCATGCCAGTCCTGCCCCCAGAGCATGCTGAGACAGTGACTGAGACTGGGTATGGTGTTGTGTGCTTATAATCCCAGGTTGAAAACAGGTGGCTCACTATGAGTCAGATCAGTGAAGTGAGACCCTGTAGACCCTGTACTAAATAAATAAATAAATAAATAGGTCATTGATTAAAAGATAAAGTTTTTCAGAAAAAAATTACAATAGTATTTTTA